GGCCCGCCGGGATCGCACCAGGGGCTGCACCAGGATCAGCTCCGGGATCATCAGCTGCGGGATCCCCGGGATCACACTGGGATCACAGCAGGATCACCAGGGCCACAGCAGAGGACGAGAGCACACCAGGATTAACTGTGGGATCCCCAGGATCTGCCGGGGGGATCACCCGGGCCACAGCAGGATCTCACTGGGATCACCACTGGGATCACCAGGGCCACACCAGGAACAGATGTGGGATCACCAAGACCTCCCTGGCATGTCTGCGACCACACTGGGATCAGCCACAGGATCACTAAGTGCTTCCCAGGATCACTGGGAACACATTTGGATCAGCCACAGGATCACCAATTGCTTCCCAGGATCACTGGGAACACATTGGGATCAGCCACAGGATCACCAAAGGCTTCCCAGGATCACTGGCACCATACTGGGATCAGCCACAGGATCACCAAGGGCTTCCCAGGATCACTGGGACCACACTGGGATCTCAGTGGGATCACCACTGGGACCACCAGCACCCCGGATCACCCATGGCACACTAGGATCACCCCCAGGACACTAGAACCACTGGGATCTGCTGTATCCTGAGGCACCTGCAGCCCAGGACATCAGCACCCTCAGGATCACAGGCACCCCCAGGATCACCTCCAGGACATCCCTGGGATCACAGCCTGGACATTGTCCCACTCCCAGGCCCCCTCCCCTGCTGTGAGGAGGACACTGAGGTCCCCGAGGCCACATTTCAGGAACCCCCCCAAAATGGCTACAGACTCTTCTTGTCCTTCCCAAACTGACTTTATTTCACCAACTTCCCAAACCCCAGGGACTGCTCCTCCAGGGAGACGGTGCCAGAGCAGCCCAGGACCTGCCTTTGGGGTCTGGTGGAACCTTCCTGCTCCCACAGGAGCCCCAAACCCACTTTGGCAGCATCCAAAGTGGAGGGTTTGGGCCTCGTTTGTGGGGTTTTTTCCCCCAATTAGGGAGCAGCAGAGGGACCCGTGGGGACAGGGTGGGTGGCACCAGCACCCAGGTGGGCACCAAGGAGGGGGTGGATGGAGAAGAAGGTGGCAGGGAGGGCTGAGCTCTGTCCTCATGGAACGCTGTCCTCATGGAAACCTTTCCCTGGGGAATGCAGCCTGGTCTGAATTTCCAGCAGCTTTATCAGCCTTTGGGAATGGAGAATTCCAAAGAGAAGGTGATTTTGAGGCTGTTACCCACAGCAGCCCTGGGGAGTGTTGGCCTTGAGGTGACACCAGTGACCTGCAAGGGATGAAACCAAACCCAGCAGCTTGGATTCCTTCATGTTCCCAGTTTTGCATGGGAACAGGGACAGCACATGGGAATCCTCTGACCCGGGATGCCTGAATTCAGGAATCCTGTGGCTGCTTTTAGCACTGGGAGCTGTTTCTTGCCTGTCCCATACCGCGGGCCCCAGCCAGTGTCACTTCATAAAGATCCAGCCAAGAACCATCAAGTTTCCCAGTAAGCCCAGTGATTCCCCATTGAGTTTTCCAGTAACCCCAGTGATTTCCCAGCAGGTTTTCCAATAATCCCACTGAGTTGCCAGGCTTTAGCAAGAGGGTTCCTGATGGCTGTGGAACATTTCACTGCTCTTCTTCCAGCTCCCCAAATAATTATGAAGCTCATCTGCAGTGAGACCAGCAGGGCCAGGGAGGGGATTGTCCCCTCTGCCCTGCTGAGACCCCCCTGCAGGGCTGGGAACAGCTCTGGGGTCCCCAACACAGGAAGGACATGGAGCTGTTGGAGAGAGGCCAGAGGAGGCCCCAGAGATGCTGGGAGGGCTGGAGCAGCTCTGGAGCCAGGCTGGGAGAGTTGGGGTGTTCAGCCTGGAGAAGAGAAGGCTCCAGGGAGACCTTAGAGCAGCTTCCAGTGCCTGAAGGGGCTCCAGGAAAGCTGGGGAGGGACTTGGGACAAGGGCAGGGAGGGATGGGAGCAGGGGGAAGGGTTTCCAGCTGGCAGAGGGAGCTGGAGCTGAGATGGGAGAAATTCTGTGCTGTGAGGGTGGGGAGAGCCTGGCCCAGGTTGCCCAGGGAAGCTGTGGGTGCCCCATCCCTGGGAGTGTTCCATGCCAGCTTGGATGGGGCTTGGAGCAGCCTGGGCTGCTGGGAGGTGTCCCTGCCCATGCAGGGGGGGGACTGGATGAGCTTTAAGGTCCCTTCCCACCCAAACCATCCTAGGATTCTCTGATTCCAGCTGTTTTTTTCCCAGCTGTTTATTTCTGACAACTCTTGCAGACAGGAACGCGCGGCACGTGCTGAGGTGGGGCTGTGGATTGGAGGCTGGTTCAGACTGAGCTCACACCTGATACATGCCCTGCAGAAAGGGCACTTTTATTCTTCTTCCCAGCAGGTGTGAGGAGCCCGGGCTTCTTGTGCATTTGCTTGAGGGAGGAGGTGGCTCTGGTGAACGTGCGCTGGCAACAGAGAACCAGAAAGGAGGGTTAATGTGAGCTCAGTCTGCAGAGCAGAATTGTCACCTGCAAAAGCTTTTTCCCTGAAAAAAAACCACCACAGACCTTCCCAACAGGAAGGGTCTCCCCTCAGCCTCCTTTGCTCCAGGCTGGACACCCCCAGCTCCCTCAGCTGCTCCTGCTCACACTTGTGCTCCAGCCCCTTCCCCAGCTCCCTTGCCCTTCTCTGGACACGCTCCAGCCCCTCCATGTCCTCCTTGTCCTGAGGGGCCCAGACCTGAGCCCAGCATTCCAGGTGCCCCCTCCCCAGCACTGGGTGGTCCAGCACTGCTCTGCTGGTGGCAGATCCCAGCAGGCTCACAGGACAGCACAAGAAGCCCTGGGAAATTCTCCTCCCAAGAACTGAAGGTCTGAATTTGAGATATTTTCCTTAACAGTCATAGAATCCTAGCCTGGTTTGGGTGGGATCATTTAGATCCAACCCTCCTGCATGGGCAGGGACACCTCCCAGCAGCCCAGGCTGCTCCAAGCCCCATCCAACCTGCCCTTCAACACTGCCAGGGATGGGGCAGCCACAGCTTCTCTGGGCAACCTGGGCCAGGCTCTCACCACCTTCACAGCACAGAATTTCCTCCTGATCTTTAACCTAAATGTCCCCTCTTTCAGTTTTTATCCTTTTCCCTCATCCCATCCCTCCTTTGCCTTGCCCAGAGTCCCTCCCCATCTTTCCTGGAGCCCCCCAATGTTCAATTCCACAGCTGAGCAGCCCTGTTACTCATAAACTCCCCATCTTCCTTCACTCCTGCTGAGCTGAGGACCTCAGCACCATCTTATGGTGACCCCCTTGCCAGGAAGGAACTAGAACTGAGAAGTGCTGAGCTTGGTGTTCAGAAGAGCAGCAGGGGATGAGGTCTTTCCATCATCCAGAGACCAAGAAGGTTTCTAAGTTGTCCTGCAGAGCCAAACCAGCTGAGGGCACCTTTTGATCTGTCTTCATTTTTGCCCTGTAGAAGGAGACAGAAGCTGGGCCATCGGGCAGTGTGGTCTCCTGCAGCTTCTCATACCTCTCCTGATCATCTTCCTCCTGCCAGTAGAAAGACAGACCCCACTCCAGGTGAAAAACACACCTCTGGAGGCACAGGTGTTCCAACCAATCCCATGGATTGGTTGAGCATTGACCCAACAGTCTCTTTGGAGCTTCAGAAATGAGAAGTCCCCCCTTCCCACATCTTAGGTGAGCAGATTTGGGCAGGACTTTGGGCAAAATCCATCTGGAAGTGTAAAGCCCCAAAGGGAGTCCCCTCAGCTGTCCTCTCATGGTCGTGTCCTGCCCATAACTGCCCAGAGGACACACTCTCCCTGCCCCTGGAAGACAATGGCACAGCTTGGAGGAGGTCTGAGCTTCAGTGTGGCCCTCCCTGAGCCCACCTGGCTGATGTCCATGCCCACACTTCTCCAGGGAACCCTCTGGCAGGTGGGAACACTGAAGAGGAACATGGATTGAATGGTAGGAGGGTTTTCTAGGACATCACCTTGTGTATAATGGTTTCATGCTTGAGGAAAGCTCCAGGAGATTCTTATGTCACCTTCTGGGGAGGCTCATGAGTAGCCTGGAGAAGGTGACAGTAAATTCTGGTGTGATAAAAGGGAAGTGGCCAAACTGGATCAAGCCAGGAGGAAAAGATGCAGACCCTGGAGCAATGGGTTGGAAACACAGAGCTAGTCTGGAGCAGGGCAAAGGGTCCTCAGCAGGGAAGGAGTCTTCAGAGAAAAATCATGGAATGACAGGATGGTTTGGGTGGGAAAGGACCTTAAAGCTCATCCAGTCCCACCTCTGCATGGGCAGGGACACCTCCCAGCAGCCCAGGCTGCTCCAAGCCCCATCCAACCTGCCCTTCAACACTGCCAGGGATGGGGCAGCCACAGCTTCCCTGTGGTCCAGCCCAGGGGGATGATCCCTGCCCTGCTCCTGCTGGCCACCCCAGTGCTGACACAAGCCAGGATGCTGGTGGCCTTCTTGGCCACCTGGGCACTCTGTGTTTTGTAGCTACCAAGGGTTGATTCCCCCTCACAGCCAGGGTGGGATGTCCCTCCTTGCCATGGTGGCAGAGCAGAAGCACTGCCACCACCTTCCCACCAAACAGGGTGAAGGTTTGGAGTCTGGGAAGGTTTCACGAGGACAACCAAGGCCTGGGATGACTTCAGAAGAGAATGAGGCAAAGGAGAAGTCTGGTAAATGAGAAGCTGGAGAGAAATGTCCTTTG